AGAGATACAGGTGCTCCCAGTACGATCTGCAGGCTGCAGCCCCCCCACCCCAGCCTTACCAGCCCAGCTCACTGGAGTGTACAGGGCGCCCCAAAACAGGAACCAGTACCGTCCCCAGGGGCCCACAGCACAGAGCATCGTGTTTCTGCTGGGTCCCTGAGCTGGCCCCTTTCTGGTTTCACAGTAAACTGATGTTCACAGTGAGAAGATGTTCCGTGGACAGAGACCCTCAGCCAATCCCCTTCCTAGTTGAGAGCCTGGAATTAGTATCTGAAGGACTGGCCTCGTTCGGGTCTCAGCCCTGCCTCTTACCTGTCTTTGGAGTCTTTGGGTAACTTGAACGTCTCGGTGCCTCGACGCCTCTTCTGGAAATTAGTGAGGGTATTGATGTACTCGCACCGCGGAGCTGTTGAGTTTCATGAGATGTGTGTTACGTGCCTAATCCCAGTGTCTGGTGCGTGTCACGACAGGATTCGGAACGTTGCGTGGTTGCTATCAGTATTACCAGAACAGACTCCAGCTCGCCTTCCTGGGAGTGAAATCCATCCACGCCGCTCATCTCCCACCCTCGGGGCCTCCTTCCCTGGGCCAGGCAGCAGGAAGAATGTGCTTCTTCCCTGGAAAGCCAAATCCACCTTCTCCCCGGGAGGCTCTTGTGCTGAGCCGTGCCTCTCCAGATTTGACGCTGCCGCTGGCATTGAAGCACACAGATTTATTTGGTGGTCATATTTGCTGGGCTTCTCTGCAGAAGAATGATTGCTCCTAATTAACATATCCACACATGAATCATTTCCGGAGCTCGAACTGCACGCACTGCCCAGCGGCTGGCCATGTCTCCCAGAAGACAGTCAAGGAAACAGGCTCTACCTTCTCCGCCACCACCCCCGTCTACCCCACGGTTCCCCGTGAACGTGACAGACGCCGTGGGACGTGGAAGGTGTTAGTCAGGAACTGCTGGGGGCTGGGATGAACGGCTCAGTCTTTTAGATGATGAATGTTCTCAACTGATTATAGAACCCCAGTGGGGCAGGGGGAGATTTCATGAGGTCATTTTGTCTTGAGGACAGAATTGAGTCTTTTATCCCTGAAGAATGGTTTCAATGTTTCTAAATCTTGAATCGGATCAACACTCTCCCTCTCTTCATACGCACATAAACCAAGTCCTCCGCCTAGCCCGGGAAGTCCAGTCTCCACGGTCATCAGGCACCAGCCAGCGTGGCAGGACGTCACAGGAAATAAACAGCCATCTGGCCAGGTAGCCTTGAGGGTGGGGGAGGGAGAGGGAGGCCTGAGCTCCCAGCAAGGCTGTGCTGCCACCCGGCTCTCAAAATGTGTGCCCGGCATTTGAAGACAATTAGAGGAAAAAACTGTGTCTGCCTTCCCATCCCCACATTTAAACCTCCAGTAGGCAGGAGAGACAGCGTCAGCCTGGGCTTGCCGGAGGCCTCGCCCGCAGTCCGGGCACGCAGGGCCCTTCCGATGGCCAGTCAGCTGGCCCCGCACGCCTGCGGTGCCATTGCTGTGGATTCTGTTCAGTGTTTTGCCTAAACTATATACGTGATGTTGCCGTCTTCAGATTAGAATAGATCATGCCTTATTTTAAGTCACGAGCCTTCTAGTTTTTACAGAATAAGTCCTTATATACATTTCCATGTTTTCAGAAAAACGTCAAAAAGTTCATGGAAAAATGGAATTAAAGGGTGAGTTTTTTCAAGTGCAAATTTTTTGGAAGTCTATACATTGCTTATGATAGGCATTTTCCATAAAATCTTGGAAGACCCCTCAAGCCTGTTCTAATCAGCATGTCATTGCAAAATGATGAGCAAAATGTCTGATGGATTGGGGCAACAGCCTTCCAACTCCTAGTCGAGCAAAAGCCCTCCTGCAACTGAACTGATGCTGGCCCGTGTGTTTGACAGCCTGCCTATGTCTATAAAAAGCTAAATTACACGTAGCTCCGTGACTCCTGTTCTACAAATTCTAAATGGCCCTCAATTATCTCTGGCTTTGCTTCTTTCTGAATCCACTAGACCTAATGCAGTGGTTACCATGACATGGCGACCAAAATGCCTTCGTCACATAAATGCTGTTTGGATGGGTGAACGAACAGGTTTACTCATCTAAGCACTCTGAGACCACCTTTAGGCTTTAGTGAGTTTAGTTTTGTTATTATTTTTATTTTTTCCTCCAGAGGGTACATACAGTCCTGAGAAGTAAGCAGAGCCGGAGGGAGGGAAAGAAAGAACGCATCCCCCAAAGGTACACCCCAGTCCCTTCTCCTCCATTGCTCTTTCCTTTAGGGGCTTTGGGCATGCATGCACACACACCCAGCGTGTTTTTCAAACCACCATGCACAATCAGCCATGTAGGACCCAGTTTCCCTAACCAGTAGCTGGCCCTCTGTGCGGGCCTTTACTGGTCTTCGTCAACTGTCCAGACCTCCCTCTGAGCACACGTACAGGGCATGCATAGCCCTGCAGGTAGAGGCCTTCCCTGCTGCTGCACCACACACGAATGTTCAGCATTGTTTTTTGTTTGTTTGTTTTTTAAGGTTTTTGCCACAGGGTGTGTGTGAGTGCCAAAGAGAGACAGAGAGGGAAAGTGAGGCATCACATCCCAGGGGGGTAATTTCTTCTCTTCCTGGGTTTTGGGCAACCAAGCACACATGCCCAGCATGATTTTCAAGTCACCAGGTCAGGGCCTCAAACCGTAGTCCCTACGTGGGAGTCCAGTGCCTTAACCACCCCGCCCCCTACTGGCCCCAGGCATTTATTAATGAATGATAATTTATGGCAGTCTCAACCCTGGCTCCACACTGTAATCACTTAGGAGGTTTTGGGGATGTCAGAAACCTAATTACGGTGATGGTGGCACGACTCCGCAAGTAGACTGCAAAAATCGGCTTGCGTACCTCAAGCAGGCAGGCTTGATGGTCTG